GTTACTATCTAAATCCACAATTTCAATTTGGAGTGAAACATTCTGCAAATGTATTTAAAAAAACATTAGAAGGTATAAAAACAATTATTGAAAGATCAAAACCTTCGATAGATACTCAAATCAGAATGATTAATCAGGTTCGTATTTAATACTATTGTATAACTTTAACATTTATTTTATGTATTAAAAATTAAATTATTTTTTATTTATTCATTTATTATTGTATTTTCAATCGATGTAGTTGTTATTATTTCGAGACAAGCATGAAACATTTGGTAGTCCACAAGCACAAAAAGCTTGAAAGCAAATGAATCCAAGTAAATAGTAAGTTAAATAATTATAATTTATTTATATTATTTAATTGTATAGCCCATTGAAATTTAATTTAAATAATTTTATACAGCTGAGTGGTGGATGATATATGGCACTTGTGTTCCTGAATTACAAAAACTAGAAATCTAAGTGCATAGTCAAACAACATCTGCATCCAATTGTGAACGTAATTGGAGCACATTTAGCTATATTCACACCAAAACAAGAAACAGATTGAAGTTTGAAAGACTCCAGAAACTTGTATATACCTATTATAACATGAGGTTGAGGATGAGACATAAAAAAAGAATGAGCATTGATGAAATAAATAATAATTTTAATCCTATTAGCCTTGACAATATTTTTGAAGATGATGATCCACTAACAGAATGGCTGCAAGAGAAAGAAAATCCTTTATTAGATGGTCAAAACTCTTATTGATTGCCTGTAGATAATTCTGATAATGAAATGATTGTTGAACAATCACGTCAATCTCTAGAAAGGAATGTGTCTCATTCAAGTTCAAGTCCAACACCAAGTCAGAGTGATGATGGTGGTGGTTTAAGTCCAGATGATGATGGTGATGGTGATGGTGTGAATTTTTGTGATAATATGGATGCAAATCTACCTTACAGCCCATTTAGAGGAGAATTTGGGCTTGCTGTTACTAGTGGACTTTTCATTAATATGGCAGAATACGGAGGAAATCCATTTGCTGAATCTAGTGAGGGTCAAAATGCATGTACGACTCGATCAAAAAGAAAAGCGAAGAAGCACCACTATGAAATTTCTAGAGGTTTTTCATCTTCAGGTGAGAGATCAAATTCTAGTAACTTTGAGTATAGTGAATCATTTGCTAGTACTCAAAGACATTACTATCCACCAGAACAACATAATTTTCAACCTCCTCATGGTTATCCACCTCCATATGGTTATTATCCACCTCAAATGTATCACCTCCTCAAATATATCATCCACCTCAAATGTATTAGTTACCACAAATATACCCTCCACCACAAATGTATCATCCTCAAATATATCATCCACCTCAAATGTATCAAGAACAAAGATCTCAAGGATGGAGATGGAGTTAACTTGGCTCTCAAAGTAAAGATAAAGAATCTGATCCTTCTCGTCATTCTACCATGTGATAAATTTGAAATATATATCAATAATTGTAGTTGATGGAATTTAAATTTATTATATTTTTAAGTTTGTAATTTTATTAAATTAAATGATTGGTATTTAACATATTATGTTTTATTAATATTTGATTTGTCTAGAATTAATATTGAATATGAACTTGACCAAGAAAAATTTTATGGATAAACCAAATATGAATACTTTTTTATAATCTAAATAAAATTGTAAATAATTTTTTTAGAAAATAAAAAATATAGAGTGTTATAAATTATTTTTAAAATCATTGAATAATAATTTTTATAATTATAATTATAATTATAATTATTATATTTTATAATAAATTATGTAAAAAAAAAATTCACGACCGTGATGACTGTAATGACTGCAATTATCTTCGTTATATTTAAAAACACGATCGAAAACGTGACTTCGATCATTATTTAAATCCCTGACTAAGACGAAATAAGGAAGCTATGATTGGATCCTATCTTATATCCTCGCTATTTATAAAGCATAAAAAGTTAGGTAGATGAAAAAAAAAAAAATACAAACAAACAAACACAGACACACAAAGCCAAAAATTAAGAAGGGGCGAAGTGTGCCGCATGTGGTTATGAAGTTCCAAGTACGAAGGAAGATTCCATTGTCAAAACCTAGATCACGAACCTAACACAAGTATATGTATGTAAATGAAAAATAAAATTAAAAATGGTTTGGGCAGCAATTTGTTTCTTGTTTGTCCGCGGCCCTTCTCAGTGGGCTTTCCAAGAGGTGAGACAACATGTCAACTTTCACAACTTAGAAGACACACACATATATATACCATTCTAAACCATTAATTACAAATATTATTTTACCAAAATTTTCCTCAACCGATAAATTTATTCATCTCGATGTAAGTGAATTTGTATTCAAATTTAATCGGTGATTCTTTATTGATGGTAATCTTGAATGTACAAAGGGTCGCACATGGAGAAGTTTTTGGTTGTTTATTGAAGGTTTTGTGTTGATCTCCTTACAGGCAGGGCCAGGGCCTCGGGATTCCATTTGTCTTCTGACATACAACTTGTCAGATGTCCCAAATTAGGCCAAAAGGGATTAAGGACGACAACATATATTACTTATTTCTTTGCTCAAAGTTAGAGGAATCTTTGCAAATGAACGGTTAAAACTCAAGATTCCATGGGAATCTTCCCTTTGCGGCTTCCTTCCATGTATTAAAATAAACATACTTTTCGAAACCAGTGCTTTTTGTTTTTGGTTCCTGCCTAAACCAGTTGCTACGCATGCGCTTAAAGGTAAAAGTTAATTTAGGGTTTGGACTGGACATCTTGGTTAACGACAAAAAAACAGAGCCCTTACCAATTTGCTGTAATCTGTTTTGTCAACAAAAATGAAAAATTTACTAATCCCTCCCCTTGATATATATATATATATATATATATATATTATATTTACTATATTCATGTGCACTAGGTCGCCTTAGGCCACTCTCTTTGATCCATTTTTATATATATTCAAGATTCCTCTATCTACTTAGAATAATAAAAATAGGGGCTTAGTTGGCTCTTCCTAGTGGAATCATTTCTTATCCATTTCTTATTCCTGGGTTACATTTTCTAAGTTCATGTTTTGAAATTTTTGAAATTCAAGCTTTATAAATTTTATTTTTAATTTTTAATTTTATGATTTTATTAAAAATAATGACCAAAATAGATCTTATTTTATTTAAAAAGTCAATTAAAAACAAATATTATGAGACAGAAAAATAATACTATTGTATTCTCAAGTACTAGATTTCATATTTTTATTTGGAGTATCTTAACCTATATTTGTTTATGTGATTATATTTGGTGCACTCTTATCAATTAGGTAATATTATATCATTAATAAATAAATATTAATTTTAAGATAAATTTATATAAATTAATATTTTTTTAAAATTTACTTGTTAATAATATAATATTATTTTATTTATCTCATTAATTAATAAGATTATATAAATTTAAATAATATCTGCACACAATATGGTTGTCGCTATTTAATGATAGCACCATCTTTCGTCACTATTATTTATCGCAATAGAGATTTGAATTGTCATTCATACGTATAGTATATTATGTTCACAAATAATCATATAATAGAAAATTACGATCATAACGAACGCTAAAATCATTATTTGTGCTTTTCTTTTCAAATCAAACATCAAACTAGAAAACCCAAAAAAAAAAAGTAGAGCTCTCTTAGAGCTACCGTGGCCAGTGGCCTGAAGTTGAGTGTCATGCCATCTTCTCCACACTTGAGACTTGAAAGACATAGATAAAAGCTTAGAGTAAAAAATCGGCTTGAGGGCGACCGTGAGGATTTGAGAAGCAGGACGGGTTGGTTGGGTCGAGCCATGGTGGCTTTGTTGTGGGATGGGAAAAAAGGTGTGATAAAGACAGCAGAAACAGTGAAGAAAAGAATCAAGTCGGGATTTTGAAAGGACAGTGTCACGTGTGGCATCTAATCAAAATGGTAGATTCAATGAGCAGTGTCACCCACAAAGCCAATAGAGTTGAACCAAATAAAAAAGCCTACAAGAATACATATAGTTGGGCCCTCTTTTTGAGCTAACTTCTTTTTTATTATAATTGGGCTTTTAATCAAACCTTTTCTTTCTGTGTGGTTAATTAGTGGGTTCATTTTTTATGAGTTTTACATGTCTGCCATTATTTGAAAGAATTAATTTTATATTATATAATTTTTGTGTTACTAATGTTATTATTAATTATATTTTTTAATAGTTGACAAAAATTAGGTCACTAACTATTACTTATTTTGCTTAATTAGTTATTAAAATATTAGCTTTGAATTTGATTTAATGAGAACGTATATGTATCCATGTTTAAACAATTAAATTTTAATCGTCCTCCCGATGATCATATATATTATAAAAATTTATATAATATTATTTTTTAATTAAATTAATTTATGAGCTAACAGCATAAATAATATTTTGTCCTTCATTTATTTCAAAATAAGATATTTTGTCCATCATATGTATTCATAACATTTATATCTATAAAATTCATAGATATATTGAAAATATATATTTTAAATAAGTATTGATTCTAAGTTATAATTAAAAGATATGAAAATATTATTTTAACCTATAAATGTAAGATTAAAATATCTTACATTATTTTAAATATCATAAATAAATATTATTATAATCAAATTATTCTTTTACTTCATTTTGTGAAAAATTATGAAAATGTTAAAAAAATTCATGACTGCCATGAATGTGACTATAATTATTTTATCCATTATATTTATAATTGTAATAAATGAGATATGACCGTAATTGTATATTAAATTATACGTAAATCTTTTGTTTATCATGACTGTTCTTGCCCGAAATGGAAGTTAAAGCTTTATTTGATGGTCCTCCTTAATATATCTTGACCTAAAAGTAATGAACATATGCAGGACCACTGGAGGAAGAGAGAGATTTCAGTTGAATGAAGTAGAATATTTAAGCTCTGCAAGTAATTAAGATTAAAAGGTCGGCTAAATGCGCCATACGGGCGCTGTCGCTGTCTTTTTTTTTTTTTTTTTGAAATATCAGAAACAATTTATTACTAAGATGGATGAAAGAAGACATTGCAAAGAGTAATGTATAGTACATGAAATAGTGACATGGACATGATTAAATAACTAGTTACAAACATCAAACCAGATTGCTTCGGGATAATTATTTTTTTATAGTTACATCCCAATCTCTGTCTTTAGACCTAGGAATCATGCAAGTCCTACGTGAATATTGCAAATCCATAACAATAACAGATCCTTCCATCTGACACAATTATTACAATTTGGGAGATTGAGGAAATATACCTAAATCAATGTACCTGTGATGGCATTTACATGTCTAGGCATGTGGTTCTGAAATTTTGCTTGGGAAAGCATGACCAGCTCCCGGGCTGTGTCCTGGGTTGGTAGGTCGGAAATCTTCCTTACCTTCTGCAGTCGAATGCTTATCATTGCTTGGGCTAATGCTTAATGATTTTTGTTCAGCATATTCATCATCTTCTGCTATAGAATGTCCAACACCAGGGCTGTGTCCTGGGTCGGTAGGTCGGAAATCTTCCTTACCTTCTGCAATAGAATGCTTATCTTTGCTTGGGCTAATGCTTCCGGATTTTTGTTCAGTATCTTTATCATCTTCTGCTAAAGAATGTCCAGCACCGGGGCTGTGTCCTGGGTGGGTAGGTCGGAAATCTTCCTTAGCTTCTGCAATAGAATGCTTATCGTTGTTTCCGCTAATGCTTACTGATTTTTGTTCAGTATCTTCATCATCTTCTGCTATAGAATGTCCAGCACCAGGGCTGTGTCCTGGGTCGGTAGGTCGGAAATCTTCCTTAGTTTCTGCAGTAGAATGCTTGTAATTGCTTTGGCTAATGCTTCCTGATTTTTGTTCAGTATCTTCATCATCTTCTGCTAAAGAATGTCCAGCATCAGGGCTATGTCCTGGGTCGGTAGGTCGGAAATCTTCCTTATCTTCTGCAATAGAATGCTTATCATTGCTTGGGCTAATGCTTCCTGATTTTTGTTGAGTATCTTCATCATCTTCTACAAAAGAATGATCAACACCAGGGCTGTTCCCTGGTGTAGTGGGTCGAAAATCTCCTTTATACCATGCAAGTGAATCTCCAAAATCCGAGCTTTTAGTTGGTATAGGGGGTGACAATACTTCTATCTTTCCTGATGCTGAAGATAAATGGTGGGCAGCAGCGTTAGTAATGTAACTTGGGGCTCCAGGTTGAGGATCTTCTTTGTGCCTTGCAGGGTTATCAACCTGGTTGCTCTGCTTTGAACCAAGTTTTCTCACTGATTTTATTTGTCTTCCCTCAACTGAGAAAACTAAATGGCTGCAGGCAATCAATGCAAGAAGAAAAACAGCACATTGATCCATGGCTCTTGTAGTATATATTATAGAATGAAACAGCCAGAGATAAGATTAAGAGAGATGAGAAGGAGAAGATAAAACCAAGCACAATGAAGTGAGTTCAGCTCTTCCCGGAATTTATAATGTCAAGAATCAAGGCCCTTTTAGGATCCTAACCTCTAATTACTCATAGACCTTAATGAGTGGTGTGGCATCAATTGCAATAATGGAGGGTTTGAATTCTAGAAACATTTTTTATACAATAATGTGGAAATTAATATATTTCCTCTCTTGAAGATATCTCTCACTAGTATTGTTCTATGTCCCACCAAATGCATTATAATTTGACTCTCTTGAAGACAATATCTTTCATATTTTGCATATATCTTGGTATTCTTCTCTCTACCCCACTTGTTCTGCTCTTATTGTATCTTGTCTTAACTATAATAAGAACTTCTGCAGAGTGAAACAGTGGCATCCTCAACACTTCTCTTTTTAAAAAAATTTCGAGGACAAAGCTGTCTATTGCAGCTTGAAGCTCGATCCTTGACCTTTCATAGTGCGGAAATTTTACTTTGTCGTTTGAATTAATGTGTGAGGACAGCAACCTGTTTAATCAAAATTTTAGTGACAGACATAAAATAGTAGAAGCTAACCGTGTTGGTTTATATTCGGATATTCCCCAGAGATTAGCAATATATTTTAGGAAATGGGCTTCCCCACCACCGAAACGCACCCCTTGCAAAAATGCATAAATAGTATTATCACATGCTGATGGCTGTTGTGCAAGCTTTAGAACTGTTTTGGTCGACAAATTCAAGTGAAATACATCTGTCCTATACCTCTTTTGTTGAACCTCCATTGTTAATGGCAGTTGCAAACTTTCAACTATAAATGGGTGGAATCATTGCTTGGCTGCTGAATGTTAAAGCTTCCCTGCCGGAAACTATAAATAATTAACAAGACCCTTTGCAACTTTTAGTGAAGTTAATTTCTTGTTTTCAATTAACTGGCATTAATAAGCTTATTAATAGGGTATCTGATAAGAATGACAACTTTAATTAAACCAAATGTCATCTCCTACTTATGCAAGTGTTGAAAATAAATTTCTCAATGTTTTCCTTTACTAGTCTTACCATCCAATTACTAGCTATAATTATATATGAGATCCTATGGCAAAATGAAATCATAAGAGACTTCAGAAACCTTGGGAAAACCAATTTAATGGAATAAGAGGACAGCATATCCCTCCAACTTAACGTTTTTTTTATGCCTAAACTTTCACTTTCCAACCAATGTTCCTCAAGTTAAGCTGTAGTCAAAAGTATCAGTTAGTATAACCCAATGGCAGTACAGTTAATGCCCAAGTAACCAAAATGATAGGGCCCTGCCGTAACAACACCACCCATGATCTAACAGTGCTAATTGATTATAAGCATCTTATATGCTCAGAAAATGAATTCAACGAATAAAAAACCGCATCTTAGAACATTAACTACTAATACCAGCCTAAACAATAATTTATAAAACAGTAGTGAGAGCACTATGGTGATGGAAATTGTTTAATTAAGAAAACTGGGTTTGATTTAGTTTCAACTAATGGAAAAAAGTAGTATCACGGGTCATAATGGATGGTTCATAGGACAGCCGGAAATTGACCAAATATCAGTGTCATAAGTTGATATTGATATGAATCTTGCTTTTTGAGGTTTCTAAATGCAAAAATTTGACCCTTCATGTGCTTTATGGAATTCGAACTAGAGGTTTGACTCTCTCTCTCTCTCCTAAGGAGTGAGCTATTTCTTTATCAAACTCCAGAACATGTCATGCCACTAAGAATATTTATCAGTGGATCCTGCTGGAATTGATGACTGAAAAAACAATCCTAATCAACTGAGGATCTTCTTCAACCTATATGCAAGAATTTGAAGTCATAGTTTAATTTGCAGAAAAACAGAATGTTCAAACTCTTTATTATATTAAGGGATAGTTCACGCTTGTGTAAACAACATAAACTCTTTGTCATTGGTGTGATCGATTGTTTGTCTTACGGCTATTCGCATGCTTGCAATTCTTTTCTTTTTGGTAAATATCGGCATGATCATAATTAATCAAAAAGTCAAGGGCACCAACCAAACGAGAGGTCCCTCCACTTGCATTTCATCACTAAAGAAATCTCGCATTTGTCTTGGTCGATCAAGTCAAAGAAAGCAAATGATGAGCTCCAATTCGCCGTCCCTCAAACCCCCCCCCCCCCTCCAATCGTTCCACTTATAGTGGAATGAAGAATCCTGCAAAAAGGACTTTTTTTGTGGTTGGTTCCGGCGTCTGAGGAAGTCCACACTGCATTATACACAGAGAAGAAAGACTGCCAATAACTTTTTTACCCTTTGAAAAGTCACAACCAGGGAACAAAAGACATTTGATTCTCTGCCGTGCTAGGCTGTAAAATTGCAACTTTAGTTGTTAATACTTAAATTTACTTCAGCTCGAGCAGAAGAATCTCTCATGCATATAACTTAATTTTGATTCCCGATAACTGTTCCATGTACTACAGTACTTCACATATCTGAGTCTAGGTTCATTGTACCGAGTATTACAGTACAAAAATACGTAGAGTATGCTCTGAACACTAGAGTTTTTTTTTTCCTTCATATCATAGTTCATGCAACTTAGAAGTGTTTGACTCCTAGACCAATAATCTAAGAATAACAAGTTACTCTGTATGGTAACTTGTAGAAGTCTTGAACTCTATGGTTTAAAACTCGTTTGACAGATTGTACCAAAACGTCCAGATTCGTCCATCCAGAAATATGTCCATCAACAAGTGATGAGGCCTATAATAGTGGTCGTCCCCAATTCTATAACCAAGCTGGTAGTCTTGTTAATTACGGCATTTCTTCTATTTTTCCAAAGTATACTGTATGCAGTAGCTTAACGTTGAAAATAGAAATGCTTTATGTTCAAGAAATGGATCTACTAGTAACAAAATGATCACATTCATGTATGTTGAATATTTGTTCGGTCGAGACCATATTTATATCTGATAGGAGATTATACTGTTTTTATTGAAATTATACAATACTAATTGGAGAATTAATAATTAAGGATGTGATCAACATTTCTGATTTCTGATTCATGGGATTGTGACATCAGTTAGCTAATTGGAAATTAAAACATAACGTATGTATTTGTATTAAATTAAAATGGCATAACGCCATAGGAGCATGATACACTAATAATTTCATTTGTATTTGTATTAAATTAAAATGGCTTTCACATTAAATTGTTATTTGTTTTTTATTTTTAACTTAATTCTATGTATTTTAATCTAAGCGAATTAATTATATTATTATTGATCTATTTATTATATTCACCATCATTGTTCATAAACCCTTAAAAGTAATATATTTGTCATAAATATTAAGTCACACTTATATAAACTTATAAAAAAAATCTCATTAACTTTCCAATTATCTATAAAAAAAATCTCATTAACTTTCCAATTATCTATATTAGATTTTAAAATTTCAACCAAATGCCAAATGTCTAATTTTTTTAGTCGACTGTACTTATTTTTTCATACTTTTGTGACCGTTTTCAATTTTTCTATTTAATAAATTTTCAAGTGAATTATGTTAATTGTTGGATTCTTCATTTTCTTTGATATATCCATGTTTGATAAATATATTATAAATGTGGATACAATCGTAAAACAATCTAAATATATGATAATTTTGGAAAAAAATGAGTATAATTATATTCAACACATATTAGTATTTGATACTCACTCTTAAATTGAGTAATATAACAAATAAAGAATATATATAATCCTTTTATGGTCCCAAAATTAAATGTCAAGATTCATTTCTCAACGGCAGCTGGTGACCTTATATCACTTCGATAGATATGCCACTAGTAGCAGAAAAGAAATACTACCGATGAATTTTGTTAAAGTTCTTTTGACAAATACAGCAGATGGGACACTGATAAAAGCAACAATATACAAAGAACGAGCTACAAAATCCTTGAATTTCATTGGCTTATTGACTTGACTAAATATTTTTACAAACACTGACAGGGAAGATAACAAATTGATTTTTTTTTTTGTTTGTTTTTTTGTCTTGGACTACACTAATTATTTTCGCACAACAATCAAACCTAAGACAGTTCAAACTGAAACTGAAACCAAGACACGTCAAATAGAGAAATCAAACCACACTGAATTCGTTCCAGGATCAAAGTTGCTGTCACCATGTTGAAATACCATCTGTTTGCAATGACCGCTTAACTTGGAGATGGAGCAGTACTACTGATGCAGCACTTTGCAAGAAACTTTTGACCTAGTTTTGAAGGGAATGCCCAACCCCAGGACTGTGGCCAGGAGATGTGGGCCTGAAGTCGTTTTCGTTTTTGGGTGGTGGAGCCTCGGTTACTCCTATAACCACACTTGGTGGTGAAGGTGGAGACTGCGTGTCGGCAACAGCTACTTTATCAATTTGAACACCATGCAAGTTTGTTTTGCAATCAAGAATAGTCCCTGTTTCCTTTGCTAGGATTCTACCATAAGTATGGGCCTTATGGAAATGGTGGTCTTGGTCCAACATCAAATGCCTTCCGACAATGCACTGAATTTCCAGGAAGAAAACAAGCAAAAGGAGAATAAGAACGGGTACTTTGTTTTGGGCCATAATGCTAGTTTTTATGAATGAATATATGAGTGGGAGAAAGGGAGGGAATATATAACTAAGCAAAGCTTGGTAGAAGTATGGAAAACAAGGGAAGAACACAGCTATTAGCAACTCTGCCTATAGACCTCTTCCTCCCCCATGGCTGTTATTTATAGAAGAAGAGAGCAACTGAGCAAGCCAACGAGGGGTCAAAAGACCAACAAATATGGTTTCTTAGTGTGACAACGTGCAAAAAATTAATTGACTAAAAATTCTCGCATCTTTTTTTCACATGCGACCACAACATAGAGCTTATGGTCACAGTACTCTCACAACAGTTTGCAATTGCATGTATCATGCAATTATTCATTAATTCAATATTTCTCATTTCCTTTTTCTCTCATACTCCAGTAAAATTGGGATCGATAAGATTGAAAACAATAATAAAAATTATTGTACTTGAATTAAAAAAAAATTTAATAAAAAATTTATGCTGAATGAAACTTATTATAATTAGTATTTGAATTTAACTAATGATAAATTCAATCGCATTGCATCATACTTATAGTAAAATCCAAACTAAGACTTGGTAATATTTAAAAAGTAATAATTGGAAATCACCCTTATATTTTCTGGTGTGGCTTAATTACTACAAACAACATTATTGTATTCAATGTTATTGTGATTAAGGATGTGAAAACTGAATATAATGTCAATTAATTATTGAACATTTTGTCAATAATAATATAATTTATTAATAGTGTTATAATTTTAATTTTAAAAATTAAAATCGACAACTTCAAATATAAAATATATATATATTGAATCATGGTTCAGTTATATATATATATATATATATGATTTATTAGAGTTATATTTATATTTAAATACTTAAGAGAGTTGTGTGGAGAAGTAATGGTGTTCATTAAGGTTTTAAAACATTTTGTACATTTTCGTTCAGACAAGATGTTGTGGTTTCCAACTAGAACTCCTCGCTGTTTTTAACCCCATTCTCTCTTTTGTTTTATCTTTTGTTCGTAGCTTTTAAAAGGGTACTGATCTCTAGCTAGGTTTTAGAAGCTATAAAGTAAAAAGCAAGTTGCATGTGAAGTTAATTTTGCTTTATGCAATTTTTTTTACTGTTGAGAGGAGACGAGTGTGCACATTTTATACTGCCTTTAATAGTAGTATTTGTTACAACCACTAACTCGCCAGACTTGACGTAAATTAAGTTACATTAAAGATTTAATAACTTAAGCTGTTCGCTTCTTAGCCTAATGTTGAAGAAGTTTTGAATTATATATGTGGATGTAGGTTTAATTCTGTCGGTTCTCCTTTCTCTTATAAGCGTTATATTTTTTTACAAACAAAAAATTAATTTAATAATTTGAGTAAAAAAATCTAATAATTTAAATTCGGATTGTAATTCAATTTATTTATAGTTATTTTTAAATAATGATATTTAATAGGTTTAAAAATTAAATATCAATATTTATAATTTTTTTTATTTTCAAATTATGATTTTTTTATAAAAAAATCTAATGATTTTAGAGCTTTTTCTTAACATTTACATTGAGACAATATGGTTGGCAGGGATAACTGGCATATATTAATACTATTAGAATAAAATTTATTGGATACTTGGGTTTGATATCCTTGCCTTTTGGAGATGCTTGTTGCTTTCCGTATGCTTGGTTGCTCGACAATATGAGTGCAGAAGGCCTTATTCTACAATTCGAAAACATAAAAAATAAAATAAAATAAAAATTGGGCTTGTAAATCTTGTTCGAATTACTGCTTCTTGAAGCGGCCCACATTTTGAACAACGCCGACGTACTATGAAGGGCAAAGGACATTGAATGATGCAAGTGGAGAGGAAAGAAAAAACAAGACAAAGCCCACTGAAGCCTACTGCTTTGATTCACTGCCTTAATGCATGGATCAATGGCATGCATACATTTGATATATCCATACCAAAGTTCACACAACATGGATATGGCAGAACATTTGCATCCAGCTGATCTATGCTCCAAACCGTCAATAAAGCTTAAGGCATCTAAACGCAGTTCCCACACATGGAAATTCTAACATACGTATGCACTAATACATATATAACTATACTTTAAAGCCTCTGCAAGGGCTTAATCTTATGCCCTCAACTGCTGTGATAAGAGAACATGCAATGATCAACACCTCAAGGGCTGTGACCTGATGTGGTTTGAAATTTTTTTTTCTATAGGCAGCAAATGAATCATCAAAAGCACTTAATTAAGCTATCTGCTGGTGATGCGGGGGATGATATTTCTTTCCTTGCTGCCAAGGAATGGCTCAAATCCTGTTCTGACTTGGAGCTGTGGATTGAGGGCCATCTGCCTTCCAAGCAAAACTGAATTAATCTGGTTTGATTTGCTTCACCAATTTTTCATTCTGAATGTGAAGTGCGTGTTTATATTGGGCCAATGCCTAAACAGAAAAAGCCCATTAAATGAAAAGGTGGTTCATCCAAATTATCAGGGCTCTGGCATAGGGTTAAAACCAAATCCGATAACTGGTAATAAATGAGCAATCAGAAAACCATTCCTTAGGTGACCCAAACTTAAACAAGGACGACAGTTGCTTGTGGCAATGATTTTAATGCATGCAATCATTCGAAGGAACATTTCGTTTGTTTTCGTGAAAAAAAAATTTTTAAATTAATTTTAACACTTTTAAATATTTATTTGATAAAAAACTAATCGACTAATGAAAAATAATTTACTAATCAATAAAAAATAAGATCATTTTTTTAAATTATCTTATAAATTTGAAAGAAAAGAAAACTGTTATGAATAAAATTATTTATCAATATTTTTTAATATAATTTTATTTATAAATAATATTATATTAATAAATAATATTTTAATAATTATATTAATATTATTTTAAAAAATAAAGATTCTTCAAAAAATAATCATACAACCAAAAATATTTTTATTAGCTCATCCAAATAATAAAAAAATCTATTTTAATTCAAAAAATGCATAAAATGTATATTTTTTAAAAATTATTTTTCGAAAACCATTTTTTCAAAAAATTAACGGAGCCGAAATATTGAAGAGTTTTACTCCAGCCCAGTTTCACAAGTTGTTAATTTTCTTCATGTGTGAGTGCGTGTGGCACACTAAGAGAGAAACTCAAAAGCAAGAACCAATACTGTAGTACAAAAAAACAGAATCCTGATGGACAAAAAGGGAAAAAACCACTAATTGAAGGATGAACAATTGATTCACCCAAATTGCCATTAGCTGACATGTACAAGCCGTCTATCTGATCAATAAAATTCAAATCAAGAGAAAAGAAGTGTTACAGGGCTCAACACGGTATTGATCACCTGAGTGTTGCCAGCATGATGAACACCATGCCTTCATGGCAGCCAAAATTTTCAAACACAGTGAATGTCCTGTCAGCTTCAGCAATAAAAATTAGCTGAAGAAGGTATCTACAGTCTACACCATTCTTTTTGTTAGCAAAGGAGTCATTCATAGTCAGCACGGAGGAAACTCTCGTATTCCGTCCCATTTAGTGTCTTGTTCACATCATCCCAGTTGCTCACAAAATCAGATAATGAACCTTTGTGTATTTTGACCTGGCGACTCGTTAATTCCATCTGTGGAAGGCCTAGCAACTCTTGAACATCTTTTAGTTTCTGGTACAAGCATGAGAAACAATGACATGGAGTGGGGCGACAAGTTAAGTACATGAAAATACAATTAACATAGATCCATGGTTAAGTTTAATGATTAAGTTTAGATCCCTCAAGAGTTTCAATCACTTTGACAAATTCTAATAAAAGAATCTAGAAAAATAAATTATAAATATGGCATTGGCGAGGGGGGTGGCAAATCATTAAGAAGAGAAGATGCTTATTCTAGGACATTTAAGAAAAGTTGTTTATCAGTCAGGAAATTCCATAAACATTTCATGAAAGCCTGTCACTAGCCTTACCGTCTGGTTTGTGACAAGATCCTCATAGTACAAAACCATGTGATGGGTGCTATTGAAGTATTCTAAAGCCCTCCCAGCAGCCATCTCCATTTCTTTCAGGTCACTTATTAATGATGTAGAATTGATTATTGGCTTGTAACTTGAAAGAACAGCAGCCTACATTAAGTGACCAGCAATAATGAGTTCAATTGCCGAACAAAGTGAAAAAATGAGTGAATGAGTGAGTCTACGATAGAGAGCAGAGAGAAAGTGGGATAAGGAGAGAGACCTCTTCCTGTGAATGAACATGAGACTTGTGGGTTCCATTTAATAGCTTAGCATAGCGATCATACGAATTTGCAAGCACTGAAACCATCCTTCGAAGCAAATTTCTTCGGAAGAGAAATATGGCAGAAACACCCCGATTATTGAAGTATTCTACTATTTCTCTATGGTGCTCTATCAATCCCTGCAGAAAAATCCACCAAGCAGTTAGCTATGGAACATCAAGCAGCTCCTTAAATGCAAATAATTTCCATCCATCACATAGGATTGCCACCATCTCAATTTCAGTGTTCTATTGCATTGTTGCTTCTATGGCTAATCATTATACAGAGTTTTGAAGACGTGAAAATCAGAAATCTAGAAATAAGTCTACTTTGCTTAGCTAATCCAGATAGATAAAACGTACAAGAAGATTAGTAAACCGGGAGAGGGCACAGTTTACCAAAAAAATTTACCTGAAATTACCAAAAGATAAGACAATTAGAGGTCTCCTAACCACTCCCTTACCAATTCTTTTTCTTTTAGGAAGGGAATTCGTTAAAACATTTTTTATGACAGACCAAACAGGAACACAAAGGTATCCTAGAAACTGGAACTGACTAAACTACCTTATGTGAATAAATCATGCTAATACCAAATAGATCGATAGCTCTGATTCTTTCTCGTTAAATTCTGTCAACTTGACAACAAGCCAGCACTTTTCTCACTTGAACTTCATAAAATCACTTGGTCAAGACAAACAAAAATAAGAAAAATAAGAACCTACCATCTACCTGAATCAAATTTCGAAGTTCTAAGGCAGTTAGACTTCTAACAAGGTGTGGGGTGAAGAATGATAGAGGATGAGCATCAACTTCTACCAATGATATTTGAGCCAGGAATGAACACAAGTGTTAAGCCTTGACCACATGATGACAGCCATGGTTTTAAATAAAATCGTACTGGCAAATTTTCACTGTTATAAGTGAAAATACTACAATGTTTACCTGATTCAGCATCCACTTGAAGCCAACTGCAGCAGAGCACTCATTCTTGGAAGCACTAGTGAGCCAGTCTAAATTGTAAACTTTCTCCAAAGTCTGTATAATAGTCGAAATATTTTTCCTCCTATCCATTACAGAGAATATCTCCCCATTTGAGCTTACATTAATATGACTATTTAGCAAAGTCTCAAACCAGCCACTTCCAGACCTTTGCATTGATACTATAGCAAAGAACCGTACCGGATTCTGAGTGCATTCACCCCTGGCAAAGTATCAATAGCTAAACTTAAGCAAATTTGGCGAAACCCAAAAGCAAAACACAAAAAAAAATCAAAATAAAAGTATTCTTGCTTACCTGCTAAAACTTTCAGGCTTAGGATAATGCAAGGTGGGAATTTGAGCTTCTAATTGTTTAATAATGTTACTATCTGGAGACGGCCTTTCACTGACTAGGATGTTCTGAAATTTGATCTTGGTGACAGTACTTATCTGCTTTAAACAGATTGTACAGATATAAACACCACACACCATAGCAAACAATAAAACAATTGTCCTTAAGAACAACAGAGATTTCTTAGGAGGCTTTATGATGAGAGTATCCTGCATAGAAAGAGACAATATACAACCCAAATTATCATAAAATTGAAGGATATAACAGGAAGAGGTTAAAAAATTGGTATGCAAGCAAATACATTTAGTAGAAAATAATGGGAAAATTTTATGAGACATATTTCAAACTAATTTAAACTAGACAAGCTAAAAAGTAAAAGTTCCTGGAAAAGAAAAAGAAACAGAAAAATAGAAGAGTAAAGTTAAAACAGTAGCCAATTTAGTAATTTACACTAAGAAAAAATAATAAAAACAGTCCTAAAACAGAAAAAAATAAATGCAATGTTGGTTTTAAACAGATAGATAATAGCTATCCAGAAATCGCCCAATTTAAATATACAAACAAGCATAAGAACCAGTGAAAGAAAACCCAGATCCAAACATGCAAAGAGGGAAAATAAAGCATTATCCTTCAAACCCATCAATATATGATTTACAAAACTGAAATATTAACTTAAGAAAAGAAATTGTTTGAACAGGAAATAAAGAAAAATCAAACATTTTCTTCAAAAAATTTGAGCTTTAACACCAACCGACACAATCCAGGGCCATTTGACAAAAATTTTAGTCTTCTTTAAGCATTACAAAAGAACCCCACTTCTTTTTACAAAACAAAAAGCATATTACTACACCAACAAAGGAAAATGAAGTGAAAAATAAAGGGTACCTTGTTAAATACACAGATATACTGAGCCATTGATATTTCTGCAGAAGCTGAAGCAACCCCAGAAGCAAAAACAAAAGCAAGAGATTAAAGTATGTACAATCACAAAGCCGAAGAAGAAGAAGAAGAAGAAGAAAAAGAGAAGGCTTCATTGTTACTATCCATCTCGTTTTCCTATGTACTCTCAGCTACTAAAACAACCCCAAAGAAAAGCTAAAAGCAAAAAACAGAAAGAGAATCAGAAGAGGTAGAAGCCAAAGAGAAGAGGCAAAGCCGTCCGTCGTTGAAAACAATAACATGAAAGCGAAACAGCTGTTTTTTTTTTACCTGTTTTATTATTGTTATCAAAAACATTTTACCGCTTGCTTCTTTGTTTTGATCTAAAACTTTTTTCTTGTGTGTAAATAATTTAAAGGAAAAGAAAAAAATATGTTTTTGGTACGAAAGAAACAGATGCCTGAAATCTGGTAAGGCCCAGCAATGAGCAAAGCATGAAACTCGAATCTAACTAAAGTGCACGGCCTTAGAGCGTGTCAAGTGGAAGCTACCGACTCTTCTTTGACTTGGACTTTTGTTTTCTTTTAATGATAATTAATAATGTTAAAACAGATTTCTGCTTTTTTTTTTTTTAAGTAATAGTAGTATTAAGTATTTTCATTTATTTATTTATTTATATTTTCTATGCTGCAATGGGCATTATTATTTTTTTATGACAAATGGTTGAAATAATCAAATTGGAGTGAATTTTAATTTTTTTGTATTTTTTATAAAATAAGTCACAATATTAAAATTAAAAATATAAATTTAATAATTTTATACATGATAAAATAATATTACATGAAAAAATATGAAAATGATAGATTAAATTTTTTATAAACTATATATGAGTTTATATTTGATGTGTTGTTAAAAAATTAGAATATATTATTTCATTAATGAGACATTTAAAATAAATTAAGTTTTTATATAATTATGTTAAGTGTTAGTAAACATTTATATTTGGTCATTGATAAATTAATATCATTTGATTCACTGATAATATATAATATCTATATACTGACGATACATTAAATATAAACTCAACATATATGAATTTGAAATTTTGATAAATGTGTATTATGTTTAAGCATATAAATTAATATTGTAACACAATAATTTTCATATTTAAAATAAATAAATATAATATAAATATATAAATTATCAGATCTAAAAAATATATATTAATTTTTTTTCTATAATACATATGTTGAAATTTAAATCACAAAAGCAAAACCTAAGTTTTTTTTTTTTTTGTTGACAAGGAAAAGTTTATTTTATTAATTAAAATTATTTTTTTCTTTTTACACATTTCTTCACTATTTTAGTATTTTAATCCATAAACTATTAGCATTTTAGATAACAAGATCTCATCATATTTTCAGAGATCATATGGTTATTGACTTTTTCATAAAATTCATTGTTGACTGTTCAAGGGAGAAATTTACATATTTTGTTACCATCTTCATGATTAATAGAATTTTCTTTCCATAATTCTAAGCTTTGAATGTTTCAATCGTCACGGATTAAAGCAAACGCGTTCCTCTTAACTCTTTCATTCAACCAAATCTATTTAATGTCAAACCACAACTCAATTGCCAAAGCAACAATTTTGTTGGAAAGGAATCCAAGTTGGTTTGGATTGTTGATATGTCGTCATCATCCTTGAGAGTCCTCATTATAAGCAACCAAGCAGTCAACATTAGACTTCGTCTCATCTACCTTTTTTGTAAAAGACTTACGTGAAATTAAACAAGTTAATTTTATAAAATTTTTTATTAAAAATAATATTTTAAATTTAAATTTAATAAATTAAAAAATTAAAAAATCTCATCACATATATCAAATATATAAAATTTACAAAAAAAAAATTTTTGATATATTTATTAAATAAATATTTTTAGTAAAAAATTTATAAAATTTTTATCATTTAACAAGTATCGAGATCTACAATCGATACGTAAAATATTATCTACTTTGATTCAAAAATCTCACGGATTTATCCCACAAAATATATTTTATAGATTTAGATTTAAATATTTATATATATATATATATTATACAATATCATATATTCTTTCAATGTATGATTATGAGCATTACAATCTCTTAATATCTCTGTCAAACCGAATCCAACTACAATATCAAGATCATATCAGATATTGAGATTATAGATATAGTTCCTCACCATAGAACATTTAATGACTCTCACAATATAACATTTAGTTCTTGTTGATTGATAATTGCTTTGATATCATTTGTAGATATCCACACTCAACTTGTAAAATATTATCTATTTTGATCTGAAAATCTCACAATTTTATCTTACAAAAAATATATCACAAAATTTGAATTTAGATATCTACATATATATCATATTATATCCATACATTCTTTCAATATTAGATTTGAAGTGTTACAATAATTATAAATAATATTTTTAATAAAATTTTTATTTACTTATTTATAAATATTATTGATCTTTACATTAAATTCTATCAATTTAATATTTTTTATTAAAATTTTTATTTACTTATTTATAATAAAAAATTTCATGAATTTTATCTATAAAACTTTATATAAGTTTTTGTTTCGTTTCCTTTGTTTATCTCTTCTTCTTTTTTTTTTTTTTTCACAATTCTTTTAGTAATTTAATTTTTTTTCCCATAAACCTTTCCTGATTATTCTTAAATTCAAAATCAAATAAATTTTATTTACGTTTATTTAATAAATTCATAAAAAAATATTTTTATATAAAAAAATCAAATTTAATTAACTAAAAAAAGAAAAAAACTATTTTTTATCAAACCAACATTTGTAAAGTCAATTATTATCTAATCATGATGAAGCTGCTAATCCCTGGTCAATTGATCACAGGATAACAATGAAAGACTAAGTACTGGGAAAAAAATGCCTTGTTTGACTTGCTTAACAGCCCCACGCAGATTTCTTTACCACAGTGCCCAAAAGAATAAATTATTGTAAATTTACAAAATATAGATGTGAAACATATTTATTATCTTATGAAAATTACACATTTAGTTTTTTAATAAAATACTAAGCTTACAGCTTGCTTACATTTGAACATTATATGATTTAATTTATTAATTAATTTCTTAAAATTTGTGCGGAAAGCGCAGGCATGCATGCAGGTGTTATCATGATGTAGGGTTAGTAATTAATTAAGTGATTTTTTTACCATGTTTTAATAATAGAATAAAAGATATAGAATAAATTAAATTTAAAATTTAATACGTGTAATTTTTAAAAAAAATAAAATTTATCAAATTAAAATTTTAAATTTCATTATATATAATTTTTTGTATTTTAATTTAAAATTCTTTTTTATAAAACGATATATTAATCAAATTTTGATTGAATTTAATTTTTTTTCTTGAATAATTTTAAAAAAATTCACTCTAATATTTCGTCATGACACATTCAGTAATAAGTAGAACTTTGATATGGCTTGATATTTAAGAGTTGTTTTATTCACTTAAAACCAAAATAAAAAATTAAAACATGGTTTTGGAAATTGGAATCCTTCACTTTTTTTATCTCTTTTTTTTTTTCTTATTTCCCATTTTAAATTCCAAATGAACAAAGAAAATTGTTTAATTTATTTCTTCTCCACATTTGTATGATTCAAACACATTTAGTATATTATAACAGTAGAGCATGGAATTTTGAAAGAATATGAAAGAATGGAATTATTTTTATTGCCTGCCTGCATAATGGACTCCGTCCGCCTAACGCCTATAATTGAGCATGATTTGTTTCAAGGCCCCTATTCCCCCCAAAGAGACCTTCTTACCTAAATTGTTAACTAAATCCCTTTTTGGACATGATCATTCTGTCAAACCTAAACTAACTAATTAATTTTTTTTTATTGTAAAATATATGCTCGAATTTCGCTGTCAATAATTTTTTAAATAATTTGTAATTTAATGTAATAATCATCAAAGCCCTAAATCCCAAAAATAAAATAACTTCTCTCTCTTTCTCTTTCTTTTTTTTTCAGCAAAAAAAAAAAAACTAATATATATTTTTTAGTTAAACATAATGTTTAAAGCAAGTTTTAACTGACATTGTAACAAACAAACCACCAGAATTGGTCATCAAAATCAGTGGCAATAATTGAGGGAAATAAAGCTATTGTTTACATAAAAAATATATATATAAATATGTAAAAGGAAAAATAAAAAGCCTTGAGGAAATATGCTGTTGGCTTCCATGTTGCCAGGCATATATGAATTGTTTATATTGTGGAAATATTCCTGATGCCCATTATTAATTACAATGTGTTGTTCTTCAACTTTTGCAAAAGGAATTTTTTATGATTGATGAATATGGATCGGGGTGCTAGTTCATGACTTCCACAATTTTTTATGATTTTTCTTGTTATCTTTGTTGAAAACGGGGAAATGAATAATGATGAAGGAATTTTTTTTTTTTTTTGCAAATTAATTACTTTTTTCATTAACAAATTAAAAAAATAAATTTATTAATCTAAATAATGATACAATCATAAGATATGAATATGATATAAATATAAAATATAAAAATAAAACTATTTAAATTTTAACAATAATTATATTTAAATTTAATAAAATCAAAAAATATATTTTATATTTTTTATTAACATAAATTATTACATATAATTTTTGTGTGAAATAAAATTTAAATATTTTATGTGATATAAATACATAAATAATTAAATCTAAAAAAATCAACATATTTTAAAAATTATATATGTTAAGCTTTCATACAATTTTGACTTTTTCACATGTATAGAGTTGACTCCATAGAAGGGAAAAAAAACATTGAAAGAATGCCATTTTCGGGAAAGCATAATTCTAGTATCTGATGTAACCATAACCTCTCTAATAAAGAAATGTTGGCCAAAAAAAAAAAAAAAAAAACAATGAAGAGACTTGAGAAAATGACTTGTTTTGACCTATAGTGGATGATACAGTAATTTTCCTTGGAAAATTATTTCAAAATGAAAGACTTCTCTTAATATTGCGGCCAATTAAGAAAAATTTTCTTTTGAAGCCTGAGTCGCCAATTTTGTTAGACATTAATAATGTTAGTTGGACCTTTGATTTTTAGCCAAATGTTAATTGGACCTTGCAATATTAATTTCACAACCCTTTTCCACTCTAATTATAAATAAAATTTTTTTATTGAAATAGTAACTCTTAATTATAATAATTATAATTTAAAATTTGATATTCCCAAATATAAAAAAAAAATCAATTGACTGATGTATATATTCATATTTCTTAATTTACGTTAAAATTAAAATTTTAAATCTTAAATTAACAACTAAATAATTATTAACTTTTCTCTATTAGTATAACTGTAATTGAGCAATAATTTTTTTTATTACTAAATGGTTAGTTTAATCATATTAAAATTTATTTTAAAATTAA